GGTGAATGGGTGCTCTCATTCCGTGATCAGCAGCACAAACTTAACACTGAGCAAGACGGTAAGCGCTGTTTTTTTTTTTCTATTTTTCTGGAATTCTGCACTAATCAGTGCGCGAAAACTCGATGCTGTCGTGTAGTGGATGCTTCGGATGCAAAATTTAGTCACTGACGAAAGCAGAAGAGCGAAAGTTGGCTGTGATAGAGAAAGCGAAATGCGCAGAATAGGACTATAAAAACAGTTAGAGTTTTCGTTATTCATGTGACGTATAGGAGGTTATTACGAACAGTAGATAAGAAAATTTGACTAGCAGGCCAGCGGAACATTGCATAGCAATCAGTGTTAGTCGCGAAAAAGTAAACGGCTACGTCTTTCAGCTGAAGAATTAGCTGCTGCCATAGAAAATGCACCTCATGTTGATGTACTCGAACTGCAAGGTAATACAATTGGTGTGGGAGCGGGACAGCGTCTTGCAGTGGCGTTGGAGCATCATCCTGAATTGAAGGTTTAGCTTTTAATTATTTCTATCGAAATTAACTTCCCTCGGCACTGATGCTTTTCTGAAAATAAAATATTAGAGAAACTGAAAACATACGCTGCTGTAACAAATGTAATATTTCTATCTGAGACTTTGAAATAGTGGTGCTTTAGTTCGTTAAAAAAGTGGTACCTTGAAACTGGACTGAGACCAAGAATACAAAAATCATTCAGACAATTAGGGACTTACGCCAAGACCATCCTGAGCTGCATACCTTTAACGGTTATTCCGTAACGGACTATTCTTTAAACATATATTTTGTAACGGAATATTCCTTAACGGAATGTTTTTTGCTGATTGTATTATTTGAAAATAATACGTTCGCGAGTATCATCATTTTCCTTTTTTCGTAATCTCTCACCCATCTTACCACCTCTTTAACCTTAAACCCATAATTTGTATTTCATCAGTTAGCATATTTTGTGGTTTCCACTCTCGTTGCATATTCTTGCGGATTTTTAAATTACCACTGTAAGAGCAAAATAACCCAAGTATTTACTTCGGTTGTGGTGAGTATTAAATTGAAAAAAGCATCATTAAGTTAGCATAAAACAATTTTCTTAGTTATCTAATATGACCGTTGGCAAGTTTCAGCGTGCGCTTTGGAGCGACATATTCACTGGGCGATTGAAAGAAGAAATCCCACCGATTTTGGTTTGCATTTTTATCATTCTTTTGCTCATATTTCGTTGTGGAAAATTGTTTCAGACCTCACAATTCACAACACTTGTGGGGACACTTCAGTGTCGCATACTTTGGGCATTTATCTCGTTTCATTACAGTAACAACCTAAGGAAGCTGCTGTTTTGCTGTTTATTTTTTCCTTTTTGGATTGATAGAAACTTTTTGAGCTATCACCAGTATTTCCAACATAAGACGATTGCAGCGTTCATTGTGCGATGCGATGATTCGAAGTGGCACTGCGCTTGTTGAACTCGATCTTTCGGACAATGCTTTCGGCCCAATTGGCGCAGAAGGCATTGAAAAATTTTTGGAAAGTCCATCGGCATACTCTCTGGAAGTACTGAAACTGAACAACAACGGATTAGGCGCTGGTGGAAAGGTAATTAGGACTGGTTTATTCCTATGCATAGAAATTGTCAGTCTCTTTGTTCGTTCTCCCAGTAGCGTGCGAAATTCTTTGCGGTTAATGAGTTACTCACGGAAGTGAGGTATTCTTCCTGCATGTTATAGGAAATCGCTTTTAATTGATGCATTTGATTCCAGTAGATCTAATGGGATTAAATTATTAAAAACCACATTAAAGCTGAATGAATTACGTTGCTTATTTGGGCAGCATTTGTAAAATAGATGGGACTTGGGGCATATTCTGGATAAGAAAGCCATCGACGGTTTTGAGAGCGGGCAGTTGTTGTCGTTCTTCATACCCCGCCTCCACTTCTCATAAGGAGTG